AGATAGTCGATTGTCTCTACAAGATAATCGATTCACAAGGATTTTCCCAAAACTGGATATCTTCTGAGATGAGTAATAATCGATTTTCTATAGGGAGATAATCGATTATGGAGCATTTGCAGGAATACGTTGAGAGGATTCAGAGGGAAGCAATAGTCGATTATCTATGTTGGATAATCGATTATCATGTCTAGGAAAAATAAACAAAAGTTTTATTTTGTCTTTTGTTGTTCACCTTCGGCCTAGACTTAGTAATGAATAACAAAGACTTTATTTTGGGCAGAGAAAATGAGTTTGGATGTTGTGGGAGAGGGTTTGTGGGTTGTGATTTGGCTAGGGGGAATTTGGGCAGCAAGGGCTAAGGGTTGGGCCTTTTGATGGGAAAAAGGAATAAATTCAACCCAATTAGGATTATAACACTTAGGCATTATCACCTGATTTTTCTTACCCTTTTGTGATGCATGGTGGGGTACAACATGACTTGTTTTGGTTTGGGGTGGGTCTTGAGTGTGTGTTGGAAGTGTTTGCTGTGATGCTTTGGAAAGCCATAGTCTGGACAGGGGCATGAAGATAGGGGGACGAGACACCTGCTGCAATTGGGCAAAATGGAGTGTTTCTCACTGTCTTGGTCATTGCCTGGGCTGTTTTTTTGGAGCTGAAGGTTTGAATCAACCTAGAGAAACTGAAGAATGATTCTGAAGGTATATTGAAGAATGATTCTGAAGGTATATTGGAGCTGAAGGTTTGAATCAACCTAGAGAAACTGAAGAATGATTCTGAAATTATCTTTAATCCTTTGTATTGATTGATTTTGTTTCTATTTTGGAATCTAATACGTTATATGATTAGTTGTTATATGTTATGGTTGTGCCTTTGATGGGGACTATGGCTATGGTTGTAAATTTGACTTCAATATTCTGGTATGATGTATGAATAAGAATGTTTTTGCAGGTTTGAGTACAAGGTACCTATGTTCTATGGTTCAAAAGGCTGCTAACTTCTCTATAATATTGATTTAAGTGTATGGCTTCAATGTTTTTTGGATTGAGCATATGGCTTCAATGGTTTTGATTTCTAATTTATGCTGGATTGTTACCCTCAGATCAAACTCAAAGTTTTGGTTTTTTATGGTTGGTGCAGAATTACTTCCAGTGTACCTACTAGTAGTTCTAACTATGTTCATAATACACCGTTCAACTGTGACTCCTTTGATGCAGCAATTGCTGCTCACATAAAGAAACATCAAAACACAGCCATTAATAATATTGCCCTTCCATCTGAGTTATCAACAATATGGGGCGCTGAAGATATGTGTGATGCTTTTTCGTTTTAGAGACGTTCTCACAGTGAAGAGTGGTAGAAGTCTTCCAAGCCCACTTCTTCAGATACTAGCAAACAAATAAATTTGAGAAATGCTACTGATGTGTTGGGCACACCACTACAGGTTCATTTTGGCTATTTGTTTCTATATTCACACAAAGTAGGAACGGACGTAAAAAAAAATTGTACATTTTTCAAATATGGTGCTTGGTTAGGACAGAGGTAGTATTTCATACCAGTATTTTGTTTTCTTTCTTTGTGCAGGGGGAGTTTGATTCTGGGAAAACAGTTGATGCAGCAGGTTGAGCACATCCAGAATGTGTACCTTACGCGTCTACTTCACACGTGGTGAAAGATTTTACTGGATTGACTGATATATAAATGAGGAGACTGCCTGACTATATAAATGAGGAGACTGCCTGACTGGGAAAAAGAATTACTTAGCCTATTAGCTCAATGGTAGAGTGTTGTGTTCAAATGGGCACAAAGAGGTGGGTTCGAGTCCCACATAGGTTCTATTATGAATTTTAAAATGTTTGAAAAATCTCAAAAATTAGTTATGTTGTTGTGATTCGCCACACATATTTGTGTGCATATTGTATTTTTATTTTTTCCCAAACAAGTAAAAATTGCCGCATTTACATATGCGATGCTTTGGAAACACATAAATGTGGCAAAAGAAAAGATTAACTACACTTATAAGTGTGCTTAATGTATTCATTTGCCGCACTTATTTTATGTGTGACAAAATTTTCCTCAAATTGTCAGCCACCACACTTAGCACATGTGTGGCGAACACTATGTTGGAGTTGTGCCCTGATGGCCAACTGTTTATCATTATTCTATCATGTATAGGCAGATATAATATGTTTACACATCTCATGCTAATGTAAACAAATATTATATTCCTAGATTTATATTTAAAAGACGTTTATCAGATAGTGTTTTTCTGCTGATGAGACTAACATCTTGAAATAAATATTTATCTGAATGTCCATAGTCGAGTATTAACGAGAGTGGGATATCGTTAATGCATGTGAGACTAGTGTGTGTTGGATGTTTGACTTAGTCTCATAGTCAATGACGGTGTGTTCGCATCCGCACATGGGCAGATATTATCTAGAGATAATAGGATGCCNATTTAAAGGATCAAAAATCAATCTTTGACATAGTTTTATTATTTTTATCATTTAGCTAAATGACAAAGTTTGATTAATAACTTTGTAATGTTTTGTTTTCTACTTAATTGATTACACGGAACTTTGAACAAAATTTTTTATATAGATGTGAAGATCATCATCTTGATTTATGCAAGTGTAATTTTTCGGCCACTTCATTTCTAGAGAGAGAAAGTGATTATTTGGGGTTCCAATATTATCATTTTGTGTATAGAAAATATCCATAATATTTTCTAAGTATTATTAGAAATATTTTCTATAGAAATATACAAGATTATTATTATCCCAATTTTAATCTTTATATTTTATACTACTATAATCTTTACTAGCATAAAGATTGTGGTAGACTCCGGCGTTGTTCGTGTGTCAAAGTTGGAGACCGGACGCTTGAACGGTTACGTTTGCACTTTCAACGCTCTTCCTACGACCTCTTCGTTTTTACCGCTTATGGAGAAAGGTATAAATTTCTTACTCACTATAAGTTTTAGTACGTGATTCTGGGAAAGATAATCATGTTAGGATGTTAAAATTTTTATATTCCGCTGCCTATCCTTGCATGGTTACCTATCACACTATTTCCCGCACTTATATGTGTTGCGAATAGCAAGTTTAAGTGTGGCAAAAGACGCATTTTCTTGTAGTGACAATTCTCTTAAAAATAGTTTTTTTACTTATTATAGATAACCGTGAAAAAAATAGTGTGACACACACTACTTATAATACATTACTATTTTTTATAAGTTTAAAAACAGTTATACACTGGGAAACCAGACTTCTATTAGGAAAGAGTAGTCTTAAGTAATTATTGACAACTGTGGCAAAAAAAACTGCATTTTTTTACGAAACCGACTACTAATAATAGATGACCGTTTCTCACAACTTCAAAAACAGTTCTACCCATAATTCATAGACTATTGTTACAAAAGAGTCTTCAATTCCTATTATAAACAACAGTGGCAAAAAAACCATATGAAACAAACAACAAACAATAGATAACTGTTTCTAATAAGTTTAAAAACAGTTCTAGAATAGAAACCCAGACTATTGTTTAAATTGAGTATTCTTAACTTGTTATTGACAACTGTTGTAAGAAAATTTGTATTTTGAACTGAGACAGACAACTAATGATACATTACTATTTCTCGAAAATTTAAAAATAGTTTAAAAGCATAGCAGCTAGACTACCGTTCTGTTGCCAAGAAAAACTTACACTAGTCTATTTTTTTCAACTACTGTGTTTCCATAAACAGTAGTTAATCAACAGTCTTCTGATGCTGTTTTTGGCGTAGTGGTAGTACTCATTTTAGAGTAAAGCGGTATTCATTTTGGCACAAACATAAGTGTTCATCTTGGAGTACAAAAAGTATTCATTTTGAAATAACGTGATGTTCATTTTGAATCAATGTAGTGCTCACTACGAAACAAAGTAGTTTTATTTTCACACGTTTATTCATTAAAATTAAAACATTCAGTTACGTGTAACATAGTGTTCATTCTGAAGCAACAAATCGTTCATACCACCAAATTGTTCATGGATAATTGATCCGCTAGTTCTCGCCACCATCGCCGCCTAGCTTGGTTGCCGCTGCTTCCATATGTTCATCCGCCGTCATCACCTAGCTTAGTTTCCATCACCCTCATCGCCGGCCTAGCCTAGCTGCCGCCGCTCCCATCTCTTCCAAGCGACTAGGGTTTCTGATCCGCGGCTTCCGTCTCTTCCTATCGATTGACTAGTTCTTCCGATCGTCAAATGTAGCGCCGCGCTCTAACTGTCGCCTAGCTTTTTCAATTTCCAGATCGAGCGGGTTTTGTCTCATCCTCTAGATCGACTAGCTCTTCGTTGCAGCTACTAATTTATGCTGGTTGTGCCGGCCAAATCATATAGTTGGTTATACCACATAAATTGAGCTCTAAACCTAGTTTATTGTCTCATTCCGCTACACTTACATGTAGGCCTGGACCGGGGTACAGTTTCGAACCGTTACCAGAACTAGTACCGGTGGTTCAGGCACCCGAATCATTTTTGGTGGTGGTGAAACGGTAGCGTAGAACCGAACCCAAAACCGGAAAATGAGGTACTAACTTTAGGTTTAGAGTGGGTGGTTCTGGAATCACCTGTTCTGGTCTGTTACAAGCCTGATCATTTTTTTTGTTTTTTAATTAAAGTGATACTCCATCCATCCCATTTTAAATTGCTTGTTTGCCTTTTTTCTCCGTCCCAAAATAAATTGCCTGTTAGTTGTTTTCGTAAACTATTAAAAATAAAATACCTAAACTACCCTTAAAATAAGTCATTCATTTTCACCTTATCTTATCATTCATCATTACCCCTCTTAAAAAGTAATGTCAATAGTATGATAGCTGTTTGGAGCATGGTGGGGAGAGTGTGACTCTAGGAGTCTTCAATAGTATTATAGCTGTTTGGAGCATGGTGGGGGTGGGGGGTTAAAAAACTTATAAATATCCCCATTTTTTAAAATCACACCTCAATGTCTCATTCTCTCTCAATCTCATACATTTCTAATCTCTAATCTCTCATTTTAATATTTATAATTGTATGTATTAATATTCTATACATAAACTATAAATTTATAATATATTAATAATTTCATATTATAAAATTATAATGCATTGATCATAATAGAATACTATAATATAAATATATTTTACTAATATATTATCCAATATTAATTTATATTTATACGGAGTATTATTTACAATGTCTTGTAGAAGGGCTGTCGATATGGGGAGTTTGAACCAAAGTTCAGGTAGAGGCAAAAGCCCCGTCACATTAATTTGAAGGTTCTAGCTCACGTGACTCTCAATTGAGACACTGTTTCGTCCTCTCCGACAATCCCGAAGTAATATGTAAGTGATGTAATTAGTTGTCAAGAATTTGATTAATTCATGGGAATTAAGAATGATGTAAATCTTTAAACTTATAACAATATTTTAGAGGACAATGAGGAGACGGAGGAAACAACTCTTGAAAGGAGGGACTGGGGGGCTGTCCTTTGCTCAGGTTATGGCTCCAAAACAGTTGCTGTCATCTCCTTTCCCTCTTCAAGTTCCAGCCCTTCCAGACCGAGCGATTAGCACACATCGAGGTATTCCATGTGTTAGATTTTCTGCCAATGAAGTTGATACATTATCTAGTGTTGATCATTTCTTGATTGTTGGTAAGTTCTCCCATGGTCAACCAAAACTTGAGCTTATTAAAAAACATTTTGCCTCCCAATTTGTGCTGCGTGGTTCGGTGACTATTGGGTGGAGAGGCCCAAAACATATTTTTCTCAAGTTCACACATCCCCAAGATGCTACTGATATTCTTTTGAAGGAGCAAATACTTTTTGAAGGCACATATCCCATGCGCTTATTTCGTTGGACTTCAGATTTTAGTTTGGAAACAGAAACTCCTATTTCGCCAGTTTGGGTGTTACTCCATGATCTGCCTTTTCATTATTTTAATGACAAGGCCTTAACTTTGATCTGCAAACCCATTGGGAAATATCTTGGTATGGACAAAGCCACGTTGGAAGGGATCAAGCCAAATCATGCCCGGGTTCGTGTTGAGATGGATCTCCTAAAGCCTTTGGTGTCTAAAGTTTTTATTGGTACTTCTGTGGAGGAAGGTGAAGAGGATCAAGGTTTCTTTCAACTTGTGGAATATGAGAAAATCCCTTATTATTGTATTCACTGCCGAAGACAAGGGCACTCGTTTGAGAAGTGCAAACTTTTAGAGGAATACCATGCCTTTGAA